TGTGTGTGTGTGTGTGTGTGTGTGTGTGTGTGTGTGTGTGTGTGTGTTAGTTATACTGAGCAGCAATCAAGAGGAAGTTGTTACTTAAAGCTGCCTCATAGTTTACTCCTTCACGAACATAACGATACATCACCGGTAATGTAAAGTTGTGATGAGGGGAAGACGTTTAGCACTTAATTAAAAGGGGGGGTTTTACTGTGAAGTTTCCAAATCGTCATTGTAATCACTTTAGAAATGTTTGGTTGCATAACAGTTGGATGTACATCTTTCACATACCTGGTGGTTTGTTTTAGCTCAGTAACTGCTGTCCCTCTTCCTGTTCCCACTAGTGCAGTTTGGTTGTGTTTGGGGTGTGACATGCTTTTCCCCTTGAGATTTGAGTATAATATTTTATTCTAATGTAGATGAAAGTGCATTTCTGGCTTCTTTAAAGCTCTGTTTTTCTTGATTGGCTCCGATTACTTGCATATAATGTCAACCTGACGCTACTAGTGTTTGCAGCTGTGATTTCAAAGAATTCAATTGTCAAACTTGGTGGAGCAAAAAGGGCAAGATATCCTGACTTTTTTTTCCATCTTTGCTCTGTGTCAAGATTCAAAAACATCCTACAATTCCCATGATGCAACCCAGTAGCATTGGTGGTGTAGCACTGACCTCTGTGCACATGTCAAAGATGTAAAAGACGCACATTGAAATACTGTTGAAACAGTAACCTAAATGTCTAAAATACAACTGAGCCAGATCTTCTGACTTGTAAATCACAGCTAGTTGGTCATGTTCACTTAAAGACATTAGTCGTGGATATTGTGCCGATGCCCACTGTCTCACTGAGCAACTTTTTCTCCTCTTGTCCCCGCGCAGAGCTCCAGCCCTCCGAGCATCTCAAGGTAGAAAGCTCCATCTGGCTGCCGCTCAACGTGGTCTCAAATGGCAACGCCTCCAGCAGCTCGCAGGCCGTTGGCGTGACCAAGATCGCCAAGTCGGTCATCGCCCCTCTGGCCCAGCAGCACGTCTCCGTCTTCATGCTCTCCACCTATCAGACCGACTTCATCCTGGTGAAGTCCCGCCTACTTCCGTCTTTTTGCTTCCTCAGTATTTGCTCCACTTCTGTTCCACTCCAGTCCAATCAGCGCGTCACACGAATGCTGTTAACATGAACGAGGCGCAGTAAAGCTGTTCACTCTTGTATAATTCAGAGACGTCTGGAGCAATTTTTCAGAATCTCTAAATTGCATAAAAGACCTCTAAAGTCACAGTGAAGCCTTTCCACCTACCGAGCGCTGCCTGACAAAAGAAGCCACGGTGTCTGCATTTTGCCCGCTCACTCGTTTTGCTGTGAAGGAATTAATTCCCAACAGAGCTGAAGGCACTAAAAAGTTAGTTGATGTATAACGTGAAAGTGTTCAGTAGGCAAAAATAGATAACACCTTGACAGACGCTTGGGTCAGCAAATAAATTAATGGTTGACGTGCTGGTTGAGCTCAAGTGTTTCCTTAAAATGAGCCGGTGTTGCCTGAAACGACATGATGAAATCTGACCGTGTATGTGAAATGAACTCACTGTGTGGTGTTAATGTTCCACATCCGTGTGGTGTAGGTGAGAGAGAAGGACCTGTCCGTGGTCATCAGCACCCTGGAGGAGGAGTTCAACATCTACAAGGAGGTGGGAGGAGAGTCAGTCCCTGTGCTTTGTCAGGACGTTTCCAACGGCCTCCAGAAGAACGGCAAAGAAGGTAAAGAGGGCGCTGTCCCGTTTAGTTTGAATTCACTTACATCAGACTCGGGGCCCAATCATGATCTTCACACTCACAAACTCACGGATTTTGAGGCGTGTTCAGCCTGGCAATTTGCAGAGTTTTGTTTGAGGATGAAGTTAAGATCCTCTAGCACCACCTTCAGGTTCTTTTTCTAAAGTGTAAAGATGTAAAAATTTGTCACATGTCACAAATCGGACGTGAGTGAAACATGCATCATTGCTGTTTCTCCAGAATTGAAGGAGTTACAAAAGTAAAAGTCTAAAAAAAAAAAACTTAATTGAGAAACGTGGGACAGTCTAAACATAAATATGCGTCATATACATATTCTAAATACAGTATTAAAGGCACAACTGCAGCCGCCTTCTTAAGACAGCAGTGTTATCATTTTAACATTAACACTCGAAAAAAAAGTTGTTTCATACATTTTTAATAAATTGAAACAAGTGGGAACAGTTTTGTTTTTATAAGAGGTTTTTTTTATATGTATATATATTTAAATAGCTATAAAAGAAAATAAACTGAAAGGAAACAACATAATGCATTATATGCATGGGATACTAAATTACAAAAACAAGTGTGCTTAACATTAGTTGCATCATGTTCAAGTCTGACTTCTGACTAACACCCTGTGTGACATTATGAAGGGTGTAATGAAATATGTATTTATAGAGAGAGGAACTTGCTGTTGAAGGACACCTGTTGTGCTTAAGAACGCAATGTTTGACTTAAACAAACATTGCAGTCACGACATCATATAAAGACTTGCCTGAGAATCATCACGTTTTTCAGCTTTTTTCAGGGTCTTTGCATTTCAGCCTACTTTAAGTGGTGCTAATTTGCCAAAAGGTAAACAAGTATGGACAATGTTACAGTTTACATTTATAAAAATGTCTTTTTATTTTAATTTTATATGAGATCTAGAATATGCAATCTGTTAATGCTTTTATCTGAAAAAAAAAAAAAACTGGTTCTAGTTCAGCTGTTCTTACAGACGAACACTGTCTTTGCTCTTCCAGCCATCCAGCCGACAGTTCACCCGGTGCTGATCCCGCAGAACCAGTTCTGTGTCATGTCTCTGGACCCGGACACACTGCCGTCCATCGCCACCACGCTCATTGACGTCCTCTTTTATTCCAACAAGTGAGACGCTCGCTTCACTCGCACCGCTGCAGTACCTCTGTAAACACACAAGGTGGCAGCACATGATGTCCTGACATGATTAGTGAAAACTTGAATATGAGACACACACTGACCATTTGTCACAACCAGATATTGTAAACATAGAAAATGATTGTGCACATAAGGCTTTGGTTTTATTGTATTGCTTGCTTTCTTTATTTTATTCTTAATCCAAGAAGATACATTTACAAGCCCTGTGTGAGGTAACACAATACGAACTTCACAGAGACTATCTAAATTGCTAAATTAAACAAAATTTGAAATGTAAAATGAAATAAGCTTTCTGCCCTACCCTGGACTTCTGTCTGTAACAGTTTTCTTTTGTCTGTATTGACAAATATTCTATGATGTGACTTACATAAATCCCGTTTTGTGGCCGTCTTCGCCACTCTGTCTCACCAAATGTTCTCTTTTCCTCCGTAGTCCTAAAGAGGATGCACAGTCGTCTCCCAGCCAGGACTTGGACTGCATCACGTTCTTCTCCTTCTCCCTCATCGATGGCTACATCTCACTGGTGATGGACACTGAGGCTCAGAGAAAGTAGGAATTCTTAATACGACCCTCTAGCCGAGCCCACCTATGACTCCTTAATGATGCACATTTAAAATGCTGGAATGGCACAAACAGTGGAGCAAACAGCACTCAGCAGAGAGGGGCTGAACGGTTTTGAAATTAAATATCTAATTGTGATTATTTTAACAGATATTGCATTTGATCTGTGCTAAACGAAGATGTTTTCTTAAGTCTGTAGAATAGGATGTGTGGGCCGGGATATCTCCGCAGCACTGCAGTGTTTGATATAAAATGGTATTTTAACCGATATTTAAAATTTGCAATAAGCCATATTGCAATTTTGATTAATTGTGCAGCCATAATCCAGGTGTTTCAGCATCTGTATTTGCAAGCTTTTGTCTGGCGATTGCTATGAGAGGGTTTTCCTTTGTGCGTCTCTGAAACGTTCTTGTGTACGTTTGCACTTAGTGGAATTCAGTGCTTGTTCTTTGTGCTTTAGGTTTCCTGCTGATCTCCTCTTCACGAGCTCATCCGGGGAGCTGTGGAGAATGGTCCGTATAGGGGGACAACCGCTGGGCTTTGGTAAGGCCACTTTCTTTCAAACACCTCAGACATGTATTCATTTACTCTACATACAGGTTAGTCAGTCAGGTGGGACAGTCCAACCTGCTTCTGGATCTGCTCCCCCTGCTGGGATTGATCAGGGGATTTTGATGTCTGACTGGTGTCAGAAATCTTTCAGGTTATACCAACTCTGAATGTGAATTATATTTTTCCCCCTTTAATTTATTTATTCTGTAATAAACTATCTATTATCGTGTAAGTTTAAGTAGAAACTGCAGTTATTGGGTAGTTTTCACTAAAATATGTGAATGGGTCTTCCAGTAGTATCGGTTCTATTGTCTTGTGTTATTGTATTACATTTCTTTTACTTATAAAAGACGTTAGTTCCATTCATATGCGTGTTGGACTTTAAATGAATACAGAACAGACAAAATGACAACAATATGATATCTGTAAGAGAATCCATGTTATCACATGGTTATCTATCCATCCAATACTACATCTGGCTTTATGATTGTGATGCTAATATCAGTGTATTTCTCCTCCACTCTCTGTTTCTAGATGAATGCGGTATTGTTGCCCAGATATCTCAGCCTTTGGCTGACAGCGACATCTCTGCCTATTACATAAGCACCTTCAGCTTCGACCATGCTCTGGTGAGTCCAACGTCCTCACGTCATTTTAATTAGGACACCACCATCGCTGTCATGGAAGTCAAAACTTTTTGACTCAAAAATGATTTATTCTTAGCTCAGATGTTTTAAGGTTTGGCTCTTGTTTCTGAATGTGGGAGATGTAGACGGATAAGGACCAAGAAAATGTCACGTTTACCAGCATTCCTTTGAGGTTTACACATGAGGAATGCTTGAGACGGGTGATTCCAAACCAGCTTGAGATCAGTGAATGCCTTTTAAGTTTGAGGAAAGAAATGAAATACAATTTGATTCAAAGGATTCTCTAAATATTTGATTTTAAAAACACTGTTTTCTTGACCTGACAAAATCAATTTTATTTAGATATTCTCAAAATGTGTCCAGCTTAATGTGTGAACACTATAGTGTCTTTAAAGATGCATTTAATTGTAGACATTCTTTTAACATTATTAACTATTGTTATTAAATTCATTACAATTTATGCGTTGAATGTATAGAGAAGATGTATTGAACTATTTAGACAATATTAAATATTCTCCTAGATGTTATAACACATTAGGTTTGGGTAAACATTTTGAATGAAACACCTAATGTCAACATATTTTTCAGCCTGATCTAACTTAACTTACTCTCAGTATATCCATGTTAAACAGTGTTTTTGTTGTTTGTGAATTGACGAAGTTACCTCATAAGTAATGCTGAAATTGCACAAATTAAGTTGAGGGTTAGGCCCCAACCCTCAACTTAATGTGTGGGTTTGTTTAAAAGGTTTTACCAAATAAATGAGGTTAAATGGAGTGAACTATAAAACCCTTTTGCACCGTAGATGAATTGCCTTATGTGTCTCCTATTACTGCTTTAATAGACATCCCGTATCTTTCTGTTCTCCCTCGTCTTTGAATCACATCGCAAAGTATTCATACAACCTTCAAGTCTGAGATAGTTTGGCTGGTAAATCAACTTACTTTTTGTCCCATTGAGATTAAAGGGAAGAGGATGGCCTCTCTCAGAACTACCACCCACCATTGAAGTGATTGGTCACATCACAAATAGTCCAGCAGCTCCAGTTAGAAACACTGTATCGCTTAATTGAGCTAATTCAAAGATCTCTTTTACAAGGGACGACCTGGCCAAGAAAAGCCGCATCAGAGTTCAGACATCCTGGACTCACCATAGTTTTTAGCTGACTCAGGGTTACTGTGTTTTGAAGTGTAGGATCAGTCTGTAGATTACTCCATCCAGTAGGTGCAGAAAAGCTAAAACGTTTCCCTCCCAATTCAGTTCCGACTTTAGGAACAACACAATGCAACAAGTCCTGCGAACAAAATGTAGAAGAGAAGATAAGAAGGGAGGAATCTTGCCAAGAATAGTTGGTAGATTAAAAAAAACATTCCAGGCAGTGACTGAGACGTCTAAAGTATGAAATACTTCAAATTAACAACATGGGAGTCTTTGGGTATTCCCTACATTATTCAATAGTTCTTCTTACACTCCTACCTTTAGAATGCACTTTTTTATAGCTGTACAATGCAATCTAGCATGTCATTGAGCTTAACACAGTACTTAGTCATAGAAGTCATTGCTCTTAATCATTTTCATGGAATTAAATTCGTGCCCAAACCGTGTAAACCTTAGTGGTGTCACTGTTCACTGTTTGATATCAGCCTGTTTTGCTGCCTCTTCCCATGTTACTCTGAAGTCTTTTTGTTCATCTTCTTTTCATAATGCAGAGTTGTGTTGGAATAGCCAGCTGAGTGACATTTTTGTAAAGAGTTACAATGAAAAGGATGGAAGACATTTAGGAAGCTAAACGAGTAGCCACAATAAGAAACTGGGTTGAGGACATATCTTAACATTGGACAGAGCAAAGCTTCGTCATTAGAAGCTACACTACAAGTCTTATTTCAGTGAATAATTACTGAAACAATCACGATCATTTGGAAATCAGTATTATAAGACCATTTCTCAAAGTCTGTTTCACAGGCAAACATTAGGCAAGAAATAAGAATGTGTACCTCTATATATAGAGATCTCAAAAAGTGAACCCGCTTGTTTTTTTTAACTTTCTTTTTCTATGTTCTAGGTCCCCGAGGAGGACATAGTGAGCGTGACAGACATGCTCCAGCATCAGAGGAAAGAACCAGCCACTAGTTGATTTGTGAAGTCCAGCCTGAGCTGGATGATCCTGGCTCAATATGCCGCCCCTCACTCCAGCTCCAGTGGCCAAGGGTGGCAGGCCAGCAGGACAAGATTCTAACCCTGTGCCTAGACTAGCACTGCATCGCCAGCAGTATTAACTACTACAAACTCGCCATGAACACCAGAAGCGCTTCTCTATGGTGTGCATACACAGTTTGTCTGTGAGGCCTCCTATCTTACCTATCTTAAGGCAGGATGCACCGAGTCCCAGGGGGCCCACAAGCTCACGCATGCACACAAACACTCCGAAAACACAAACGCATCCAGACACTCGTTCATTCAAATTCACAAGCACAAAATCAGATATATGATGGGCTCTTTCTCTCTAATGCAGGTGGTCTCAAGTTGAATTGTTCATATTATTTAGCTGCAAACAGCAGATCACACCTGCATACATTTCACCAGTGCTATAAACGCACAACTTAGTCTTCCAGTAATGTTTGTATCCTAATGCCATGTGTCTAAACGGCCTTTTTTTTTTTCAAATTGAAGGCCATTTTGCTGCATTTTTTTCTTTCTTTCCACTGAAAGCGTGAAGCTTGAAATGCAAGGCAGTTGTGAGAGTGTTGATCTTACAATAATTTTCAAAAGAAAACTGAGAATTTCTATTTTTTGACAACAGGCCTCACTCATTTTGGTTTAAGAGGAATGTGCAGGTAGTTTTTCTATATATTAAAACTACTTCAAGCAGGACAGTAGGCTTCGTTAGTGCTTTTTTTTTTTAAAGAAGTCCGCATTTCTTAACTGTAGTATTACCCAAGGTCAGTAACACTATGTCTTATCTTTTGTTATTTGCACAATATACTTTTGACTTAGCTAATATCCCTCAGATGTTTTCTTTGGTACAACGTTTGTAATATTCAAAGTAAAAGTATTCTTTAAACATTTGTAATTTTTGTGCTGCTTCATTCAATAAAATGTTGAAATGAGTTACTCTTTGTTGACTTCTTGGCACGAGCCAGTTCCATTCTTAAGGCATAAATGCAGGTTCATTTGCAAAACTGTATGTGACATCAAATACTGACTACCTTGTGACAGACCGATGTCTTAAAATCTGTCATTCATCACTCATGAGTCAACGATGTGAAGTTAGGATGACGGACTATTTATGGCTTTTGGTTTCCATACAGTGCTGATAATGACTTTCCAGGACCATCCCTGTGGTGTTTGGTTTTTGCCTTAAAAGGAAGTCTTGGAGTCATCACTTTAAAGGTGTCTTTATCATTGGTTTTGAGTCAGGGGTGAGTATAACGAGGAAAAAAAAAAAACATTTAAAAAAAATCTCCATCCCAGCTGAATGTACAGCGGGGCTCAGATTAGTGATATTCCTCAAATGGTAACAACGGGAGCAAACAAGGCACTTGCACAAAGCCAAGACTTGGTCTTAATGCCTGAAGCTGGACTTAACTGAAGATTCAACAAACTCGATACATTCCTTCAGCTTTCGAAAGAGGCTGTCTGGTGCAAAATCTCAATTCACAACCAGCATGTTTACCTTCAGGAAATTAGTGGATGACTTTGTCTTTGATGGAATTTATTTGTGATTCTGCAAATGAAAAGTATAATTGAATGTCATCTGCATATAAATGAGATTTTCCTTTTAAACCGATGATCTGTCTTAAGGCGAAGAAAGGAATGGAACCTTTGGGGCACAGCAGAGGACCGAGATCCAGGTCTGGACAGACACCATCAGAGCGGTAAAGTAACATTTTACTGCAGGTTTGATCCACTGATTGTGATTCAATAGTTAACAGGTTTTAGATGAGGGGAGAGTGGGACTAAATCCTAACTCTTAATATTTATTAAGTGACATTAATAAATTAATACCTTGAGACTTCTCAACGTTTCTGACTTGCATCCACTTACAACACAGTAATGTCTACTTATGATCCCTTGTCATAGGTTTATGTATTAGTCTGAAAAATGATTTTGTGCAGCAAAGTATGTTATTGATTCTTTCCCACCCTTCCTATCATGCCGATATACAAAGTAGAAATAGTCTATCATTTCATGTGTTGATATTTGAACTTTGTAATCGGTGTAAGATCTGAAATTTACATTAAATTAAAAAAAAAATCCCGCTCTTTTTCAGTGTAAGTCACACCCCTGCTAAGACCAAAGGGCTGATACAAGCCGCATACTCTGTCATAACATGGGAGATGAGTGAAAAGGAATTTTGTCATTTTTTGGAGCGTGTGAGCTTGTGTGTGGGTGGGATGTAGATGACCAAACACTTTAGATACTGTATATATAGGCCAGATTACCAGTGAAAAGTTGCACCTTGCTGTTTTTATGTGGTTTGAATCAAGAACCGCCGGACATCAAGCAAATCTCTGACTACTTTCACTATGGATTATAAACTCAATGGATTGCTACGGCACTATGGTAAATATCTTTATCATTTTAATGCTACATTTAAAAAGAAAAAAATCAACACAGCCACTTAATGCCCAAAAAGTAGTACTTTGTACAATAGTGATAAATCAAAATTCAAATGTTTATATGAATTATGTTACAAGCAACTTTTTGTCAAGACTTTTGTGTGCCGGCAGGTGCATTTATTAGTATTAGTAGTGTCTTGTAGGCTCGTCCTCCCTACACTCTAAAAAGATAATTAATTAAATGTGTTTTTTATTTCTTTAAGTAATATTGTTTTTTTCTGTTTCATGTATTGAGAAAAAAAGTTGAATTAATGCCTGCTTCCTTTCCCAAATATTTATCAGCATATCACTGGAAAAAAAGGCCACTTCAAAAATACTTTAAAAAAAAACAATGAATTCCAGATGTTTTGCTTGTAATTAGTAAAATACAATGTGCCAATAGCACGATGGAGAATTCCCTTTGTACGATTTCTTGAAATAGGGTCTAATGGTTAGCTTTTAAAGATAAAAAGGGATCTTAAAGTTAGCTGGGAGAACCACTCCCAGCTAAGAGACCACTTACAATTTTCAAGATGCATTGAAGCCCCTATAACTCTCAGAAATTGTACTTGTTAAGTGGTTTTGTCTTATATAAAGTTCTTTTTCCCTTATAATCTGTGTTACATTTTGATTTACCTGTACCCACATGATCTTTTCTTAGTACTTGTCTTGATGCTCCTGGAAGTCCAGTGGAGGCCAGTGTTTCCTGCTCCAACTCCAGCTAACACCAGCTGGGACTTAGACAGCACTAAGTTGCTTACATCCGTACTGATACTTGAAGCAAATGAGCTGCTGGAGGAATATGTAAGTCCCACCCAGTGATTCTGTCATGTTGTCATTTTCTTTAGGATGATATTTGTCCCGTACACAACGCGCAGGCCTTTAGGGACATCGCCCCATTCCACTCACTCATAGTATCAGATAATCACAAAAATAGATGTAGGCCTACACATACCTTTTCATTCAAATTCTGTTTTTACAGATAGGCTTTCATGGATCCGTGGATGTTTCCGTTCCAGACGATGTTCCTGACTCATCAATGTCTGGTGTCACCATTATTGAGAAGCTGCAGGACATCTACATCAAGGGTGTGCTTTTTTATCTGCACATTTCAAAGGTAGAAGAATATCAGAAGGGTTCTTGGGGCGACAGCAAATCTGTTCTCGAGCCACTGTCACGTGTCAAGGGAAACCTCTTCAACCATTTAGCTCAAATTAAGACCATGCTCATCAACATCAAATCTTTGCCGACAACACCAGCCCCACCACAGTGGTCCCACAATCTTGACTATGCAAAAAGAGTATATGGATGGGGTGTCATAGTCGCTCTGAAGGACTGGCTTCCACAAGTGTCGCAGGCACTTGCGGAGGCATCGGAAGTGTCTGACAAATAGGCAGCAGGGATTGGACGCGTTTAAAGGGACACTTCTGAGAAGTCTGGGTAAAATACCCTGATGATGTCACCTGGTATCCTCGTCCTCTCTGGTATATTCTGCCATGCTTAAGATTTTTCTTACCAAAGCCTCAGTATGATCAGAGAGTAGGGTTGCATAACTGAAAATTTAGAGGTGCAGATAATGTACTCTCCCTTTATTCTCCTTCATGGTTAGACTCTCACCACTACAACATCTGCCTCAGGTCAATGCCAGAATCCTGTAGAGAGGGAAAGGTTCCGCTCTTTCTGGTGGACCACCATGGGACCAAATCAGAAAGAAAATCATTACGGTATTCAATGGCGAGAAACAAATAACTTTTTGATTCAGTTTGAAATGTGCCATGGAATACACATATGATGTTTGTCATTTTAAAAGATAATTTTGCACGTCAAGAAAGTTGGCATAAAGCTGTTGACATATGAGACTGTGAGAATATGTAATTAGAAAGACTACACACCCAAAAGTCTCGTAAGTCACGTTTCTTGCTGAAGCTACGATGCCTGTGTGTTTCGTACCGGGATGTACTCGCACTCAACAACTCGTCTTGCTCATTATTTCGCTTCCCGGCTGATAAAAAGAGTCGCTGGATAAAACACATTGGGTAAGAAAACGTAGAATTTGTGCGTGGAACATAGCTTAGTTAACTAGCTAGCTAGCTAGCTAGCAGGCCAAGGTAACGGTTGTGTTGCCGACGTTCATTGTGTGAGAAGACAGATGTGGTTCACTGATCGGTTTCATACAAAACTAAATGTTACAACAACAAATCTATGACAAGCTGCAACTTTCTTGAAATGCAAAATTATCTTTTAAATTGACAAACGACATATACATAATTCCCGGCACAATTAAACCTGGATCAAAAAATATTTGTGTTTCGCCATTGAAGACTTATTCCACAATAAGGTCGCCAGAACGGGCGTGACTTCAGCTCTCTTTTGGATATGTGTTGTGAAGAACAACATATTTGGGGTCAAAGTTTAATTTAGTTGATCTCTGGTGGAAAGTCGGTGACCATGAGAGCACAGCAACGCTACCCATTGGAAATAATGGCCTTGCTTTGCACAATTTGTATTTTGTTGTTGTTATTTATGGATATTTATTTGTTTTAAACAGGAATTAATGTGAATTAAATCAATGGCAGTCAAACTGTGATGTATCTTAAATTGTGATTATTGATGTATTCACGTCATCATACACAACATGATGATCAGCATTTTTGCACTTCCGGTTCCCTTGTCTCAAAGTCGATGTTTTTTTGTGTGTGTGTTTTTGATTAGATGCGTAAAATAAGGTCTGTGGTTGACACGAGCTTAAGAGATTTTAAAAGTTTTGTTTGATGACATAAAGTACGTCATTAAGTTATGAAGCTTTTACGCGTCTTCAAACAGTTTCTAACAAGTGGCTAAATGAGATTACGAAATGTCATCAGTAGAACACTAGTCTGCCTTTAGCTTAGCGGTGGTGACGTGAAGTCATGTGACCGTGTAGGTTGTTTATTGCCTAATGTTAGCCTATATAAAAGTGGTGTTCATTTGTGAGGATTATCTTGTGTAAGTATCATACATTTTATTGCCACAGAGTTCATTTTCTGCTACAATCCAAAATCCACTGGAAAAAATCCTATTAGCTTTTTGTCGAGGGAACCGGAGCAATGCTAACTTCCTGGTTGGCCTAAATACGTCATGCCTGCAGAACTCTATAACACTTTATTTATACAACGTAACACTTATCTAAAAGTAGGCTAAAATATGTGAAGAGGAGATACATGACAAGCCTGTGAAAGGCTGCTTCTTTGTGTGTGTTATAACATTTATTCCAGTCCAATGTTTGAGTTCACCTGTTATTTATTCATGTGTAAGTTGTGTAGTTTTATTTAGGTTTATTTAGTTTTATTTCCCCCCCGCTGAGGTTGGTGTAAATCATTTCCTCAATCAGTAAGGGTGAAAACAGGTTTGCATCATTAGGTTCAATCTGCAGTGAAGGAATGGGCGACACAGTTATGGAAGGAAGGGTACAACCATTCTGTAGTAAATGGCATTTTGTTAAAGATGGTGTACTCATGGGTTTGCATGTATGCCTATAGGTCAGCTTTGATGTCAGGAGTAACTAAGGAATCCTAAATCAATACTTTGTTTTTTATTCTGTATGGTTTGATGCCTTCTATCTATTTAGCTTATACCTGAGCAGGTGGTACGTTCCAGTTCGGTGAGGCCGAGGTAAAGGTAAAAGGCCTCTTACTGACCGTATTTGCAGTTTGACTTGAGGTTGCACATTTTATTTGTTGTTCTTTTTATCTTTTCACCTTGTGTTTTTTTTATTTATTATTTATTTATTTTTTAATTTCAGAGTTTTCTGTTTCATTGATATTTTTCAATTCCACAAAACATATGTTGCCCTTTATATGGGGTGGCAACCCGACAAAGCATTTCATATTTACATGAATTAACCAGAGGGTAAATAAATGTGTTGATGAAGTTGTGCGTGTGTGTAAATATATATACATGCAATTCAGATTCTGCATTGTCCTGTATCAGTTTGCTTTTTGTTTCTTTTGCTTAAAAAGAGCTAACGTTCAAGCAAACCGAATCAAACCAGTAATGTAGAGTCTGACCCATAGTTGTTCAATTTAACTGAGCTGGGTTGACGTCAAAGGATATTGTTGAGTGTGGTTAGCATCACCCCTGCGCACAGGAAGTGTTGCATCAAGGGGATCAGAGAAGGAATTGATCAGACATATGATGTAAATATGCCATCACAGACATATGTGATAAACAGCTGACGTGTGTAAAGAATGTTATTTGTGTTGAACCTGAAATGATGCAAGAAGACATTGTGTTTAGGGTGAAAATAATTGCTTGTACAAAATACAACTTCAACTGTTGTGTGCGGAGCATGCAAGGTGAATAAAAGCCGGTGATAACACGACCTATGTCTTCTCTATAAATCATTTTCCAAACCAAAGCTCTGCCGGATCAGTGACTTAAATTTATTTAATAAATGAATACATTTTTTATCATTACAATGTTTATGGATGTTTTTGCACTGGAAAGTTATTCAGAATACAAAAACACAAGTTTTCATGAGTAAACCTTCGTGACAGTTGAATACAAATCATCTCCATCAGTGACCTGCAGCATTTCCTTAAGTGGAAGTGACAGAAAGGTGTTGACTTGTCAAAAGAACCCAGTCTTGGGTATATGCTGCTTTTACTATTTTTTTTCATCAAAGGATATGGCTTAGATAGAGATAGAGATAGGGGAAATTTATCTTCAGACCTGCTTTCACACGTCAACTTCAAGTGGCTGGCAAGTATGAAAAGAGATTATCATCGCTATAGGAAACAGTCCTTGTCATATTCGAAAACTTGAGCGGAGTCGGAATGAAATACAGAGCAGGTACAGTATGCGTTGGCACAAACTTTCTTCATTCATTAACTAATGTTTGTCTTTCAGAATTACGGGGGTGGATTTAGAATGTCGTTCACTTGCATTTGCAGGATTTCTGACAGTGGCGTGCACCTGGATGGTGATTCTGATTCAAAGCTTGGATGCAGGACCTGCACCACAGAAACATGCTGCTGGTGTTTCATGCAATCTGAAGGAGCTGACGGCCCTCACCAGAAGTCTAGTTGACGAAAGCTTGAAAAGTTTTGTAAGTAACATAATACCTTTGCTTAAACAAAAGTAGCCAATGTCACAATGTATACATATTTTGCATTAAAAAAATATAAGTACGGAAATATTACGGGTAAACAATTTTCAAGTATCAAAAGTACAAGATGTTCAAAATGGTTACAAATCACCCAGTGTCAAAAGAGCATATAGAGTTATCATACTGTTGAAATACTTCAACTGATGCAGTGCAATGCAGGCAGCGTTTTAATGTTGCAGTTGGTGGAGGTGAATTGTTAAATGTTACTTGAAATGTCATAGAGATGCATCTCTTTAACCACCATAACACGGTGGTGCTGTGAACATTTTATTTTGAAAAGTAACTAGTAACTATAGCTGTAAAGATACATGTCAAATAATGAATGAATGAAGTACAACATGGTGTACTTGAGTAAGTGTACAGAGTTACTTTCCTAGACTATTTATGATATAGTTGGCGGAGCTCATTTGAGGGTGTCTGACATATGATATGATATGATCTCCAACAGTTGTCTTTTTGTTAATGACTTTTTTGTTAAGGATTAATGCTATCTATTGAAACCATATCTTTTAATCTACAGACACATTTCTTGAGTGGGTGTGGTGTAGATCCATGCTGAGGCGGATAGTTTAAGAGTTTGGTAGAACATTTGCGATACAGAGAGATTGCAGGCTTTATATTTCATGAGATGATTAACATAAATATTCCAACTAAAGTCACTGTTGGTCTTCTCTTCCAGGACAACGCCAATGGGGAGCACCTGGGCACTTGGTCCCCTGGCTTCCCTGAGCTCAAGGTCCACCAGAACTCTCCTCTCGATGGGCCAAAAGTTCAGTGCAGCCTCCTCTTCATGGCTCAAGGCCTGAAGGAAGTCCTGGAGGACCAGAGGGACAACCTCAATCCCAAAGATGTTTCACTTCACGAGGAGCTCAAGAACACCATCTCTAAGGTCAACATACTCGCAGTGTGTGCGAAGCATATCCTCAGTGGGGAATGCTCCCCGAAGCCCCCCCCACCCAAAATGCCCAAGCATGTGTTTGAGAAGAAGCAGTGGAGTCACACTCTGTTGAAGACAGCCAGGGTCTATCTGGACTGGCTGGAGCGTAAGTCTGGGGTCCAAATTTCCAAGATCAAAGGGAAGAATAAGATAAAACGTAAAGCTTCTGAGGCGACACTTCAGAAGTACTTGGAGGGGAGTGGATACCTCTTGTAATCAGTTTGTAAGGAGGCAAGGTTACAGTTTATGGCAGCTTTTTTTTAAATGGTGAAGGATTTGTTGATGCTTATTTGTAATGCATTTGGCACATTTGAAACAAATGTCTGTCTCACTTTTCATACTATTAAATAAATGGAGGAATATGATGTTATATAATGTATGTTGGTTTTAAAGTATAATCGCTTGAAAATAAGAATCGCTGTGTTTTCGGTACCTTAGAATGAGTCGTTAATAAAAGAGGCGGGTTCTCTTTGCGGAGTCGGCGGCCATGTTTCTACAGTAGCCCAGAACGGACAAACTAAACACTGGCTCTAGAAAGGACCAGTGCTGTTTTCATTTTTTTCATGTCAGCTGCTGTAGTTCTCCTACACAGGAGAAGTTTCAGTTCACCGCTAGATACCGCCAAATCCTACACAATGCACCTTTAGGTAGATAAAATAAATGATAAAGTCACGATTTTAGCTATTTTTCAACTGTTTACAGAAGTAGTATGACATTTTGTAAAGTTGGCATATTTGCTTTCTTGCTGAAAGTTGGATGAGAGGATCAGTGAAGAGCAGAATCAATGTTCGCATCAAACTCTCAGCAAGGTAGCAACATTTTAGTGTTTCCCAAAATGTCAAACTATTCCTTTAAAAAGCTATAAAATAAATGGCTTTGTTCAAATAAACTCAGCAACTGACATTGTTCCCATGTGACCGTAATTAATCAACTTGCCAAAGAGGCAAATTAAAAGGGGCTCTAATACGTTTTCTAATTACGACGGTTTGTTTTCTCGGCCTTCACAATGATTAATTGTTACGCTCTGGCCATCTATCCCTTGTGAACGGGCTACGTTGCCTGAGGTAGAAAGAGAAGCTGATAAGAATCACCTACAGAGAGCCACCGGTTTGGACTCCAATCACTGTATTGCAATTTGTGGACAGATGGACAGAGCACGGTGAGGCAGATAAGTCTGTCAAAGTCCCATCAAAGCAATGCAAGAGGACAAAAACACTGTAACAAAGATTAATGTGGGCCCTGTCCTCCTCAAATTAAGCGATCAATTAATATTCAATTAGAAGTTCCAATGTTTCTTGGTTCTGAATGAGCTTCAAACGCGTCGGATGTAGAATATCATCAGCAAAGGTCCACATATTTTACATAATTGAGAGAATAATTTGATATACTTTCCTACCACTGTTGTGGAGATTCTTAAATGATATTTTTTTATTTCAACACAACACAGCTTTGACTGTACCTTCTATTAATGTAATGCAATTTTTTGGCAAATAAAATGAAAGCTAGATCATACGGTCCTGTTTCCTTTTCTCAAGCACAATAAAGAAACAAAACGCCGGCCCTCGCCAATAAAGCCTATTTTATAGTGGGTAAAACTGCTTAGTGTAGCTGAAACACGTTCAGTTTTAAATGAGACCAATTATCTCAGCGCTGGTGTTTTGTTTCCTTGAGCCTTGGCACTGCCGTGCACTCAATACAAGATGTGGAGCTGTGCGTGCTGCTACTTTCCGTTGTATCTTGCACATTAAACCCACAAGTTTTATCAACACATTTTAAAATACAGAATGTTCAGCATGCTTAAACCACCCTTATTTTGTATAAACTACACACATTATCCAGTGTTGAACTGCTCTTCACCTGTAACGCAACACTTCATAAACTTTTCAAAAGGTATGATCAAATACATTTTAATTGTCACCATTTATAAAATAGAAACCCATTTCATTTCACAGTGACTTTTATTAAATAGTTTCATATGCATGCACTACACACTGAAGTAATGACACATTCTTTGCTGTATTTAATATATAAAAAAAACAAACATGAAACAGCTGTTACCTTCTTCTAAAAATGAAGCCTATTTTATGACATGAACCGGTTTGAGGCGAGTCCTGATGGATGAGCTGCCTGCTACGTAGACCTGATGATCATCACGGATGAATGTATGGAGCGTTCGATGCACTTATGAAGTGTAAATAATCACAGATTTTGTCCATTTTCAGGTTGGTCTTAGACGTCTCCATCTCTTTGCCTCTATAACGCAAAATTGTCCAAGACAGCAGTTCCTTTGCAGAGAGTCTCCTCTCCAAGCACCTTTAGGGGTCCGAACAGGGACGCTTGTATTGACCCGCTGCTGTCAGAACTCTTCCTAAACCCGAGAGGGAAGTCGAAATGCTCACACAGGAAGGAGCTCTGGAGGACTCTCTCCGTAGCAGTACTTTGCTTGAGGGTTTCGGTAGGTGTTCTCATGTTGAACACTCTGCACGAGGAGGAAAAAGAATAAACATGTTATTATATTGAAGTAACTTCTGCTGCTGAATGAACCCATTCAATAGGTTAAAATTGAGCATGAAACTTTTGTCTCCTAAAACAACAGAGCATTTGAATGTTTATGCGTGGTAATAAAATGCGTGGTAACATTCATTCAGCTCCAGAAACCATAAAATGCAGATTTTAGGAATTTGTCTGATGCTCTTATTAACGGCAACTAACAACTTGCAAAAGATACATTCTGAAATGTGTAAACATTTAATATTAGGAAGAGCAAAGATCAAAGCCGGGGCAGAATGAATGTGAACAAATATAATCATATTCATAAAGAGAACAGACAAAATTTGTTGTTGCCATTTTTTTACATGCAGGAAATTGATGACACAATAGCAATGAATCATAGTGAAACATTCATCAAAATGCATCTTCTGTCTAACTTTGACTGACCAAAGAATAGACAGATGAGTATTAGATGAATATCATGCTTTCAAAATTACTACACTAGCGTTTCAGACTGACTCTGTATTCAGGAAGATAGGATTGTGTTCTGTCAGAGTTTGAACGTTTTCACGTTCGCTTATCTCGTAACTCACTTGAGAAGAGGTCCGACACTTGGCCAGGCACAGCTCAAAATGATCCTCCACAGCGGTGAAGAGGTTCTGGAAACCTTCCGCTGCACGATTCAGGAAGCGCTCAAGGAGAAGTTGCTGAGGAAGAGTTCACAGAGAGAGAGAGAGCGTGTGTGTAAAACACACAAGCACAGACTCCAATCTGCTCAACCGGTTCTTTCTTCCCCTCGCGGTCACTGCTGTGTTTAAAAGGCAAACTCAATATTCAACTTTTAAAAGATCTAGCATCTGAATTCTTGCATTTCAGGATTGTTCATTCATATAAAATGCATGCATGCATGCATGTAGACACATTACTTTCTAGATGACAGTAACGCCCCACGACCCTGAACTTCCTTGATGTGACAGATTACCTTATCGGGCTGGAGGCAGCAAGACACGCAATACTCATAGATGCTACAGCAGCCGTTGGCCAGGCAGCTTTTACAAATGTACTGTCTGGAGCTGGGAGCGTTGACGTTACAGCAGCCGTTAACCAGCAAGTCGTTTCTCTCGCAGACGTAACCTGTAAAACATTAACACGGAGGAGAACATGCATTGATTAGAGGAGCTGCCGTGTTATCATCACTGTATGGTGGTGAGTAACGGCTGCACTGCTCACCAAGTTCGTCTGTGAGCAGCGTCTTGCCCTGGATGGAGTTCCTGCACTGAGTGATCTGCCGGCTGCTGTTGCCCAGGTTGAAACGCACTTTCCAGGGGATGCGATGGTCTGAATCTCTAACCTCTAAGAGCGTGCGGTCCCGTATGGTCCGCTCCTCCTGCACAATTCACACAGGGGAAGGCCATGAAATGCTGTCAGAGAAAAAAACTCAACAAAGTTCAGAAGCGGGTCAGACGATATGATGAGATATAAAGTGAGATCAAGAGTGGAGAAATAAAATGATCGGCAATATAATCTAGTAATCTTTTAAGCAAACATGCAGAGAATTTACTAGTTCAATTTTTTTTTGTTATCTGTATGAGTAAACTGAATATATTTGGGTTTTAGATTATTGATTGGGCAAAACAAGTAACCTAAATGTTAGGTTGGGCTGTAAGAAATTGTGACACAATGGTTCAGTAGATAGACCGTCCACATGTTGAATTGTCCTCTGTGTCCTCAAGACACTGAACCCCAAATAGATTGATCTTGCAGTACCATTTATTTGGAGGTATCTCATGTATTAAAGCCATTGCGGACAACATTTTGAGTTAATGAGCAGCACTGCTTTACGGCAATATTGGGTTTGCAGGAATTTTGCATCAAAAACAGACATCCCCGTCAGGTTACTTCTTAGATTTAGTATTAATGTACTGCTGCAGAAGATACTACCATTTAGTGCAGTGTGAGTTTGTGTACCTGTTTGAGCGTGCTGGTGAGAAAGTAGATGAGAGACAGTCCGAAGACAACTCCCAGCACCCAGCGCTTCCTCAGTAACCGCCGTAGCACCATCATAGCATGGCTTTCCAGGGTCGGTCCAACACATCAAACCTCCAGAGGGGGGGGGGGAAGAGTATCAATTCCCCGACTGACGTTATTTGTCAGGACCGTGTAACGACGTGATGACTCGCACAAAAAACTGTAAAAAACGGCTCTGCAAACTGACGTTAACTAGCTTTAACTGACAACTGTGATAAATAACGTTACAGTTAGCATTACCAACAAGACAATAGCTAACCCATGTTGCAGGTTTGAGATGCTGACGGATAACAGATAGCTGTAAATATGAATAAAGCTCTGATAAAAAACAGTTAACTGGTGTGCACGTAAGCTAGTTAACTGTGCTTCATCATAAAAGCCTGCTTTGTTAGCCTGCTAGCTAGCATGTCGTTAGCATTAGCTTTCTCTTTTAGATAAGCTACACAATGATGCCAAGAAACAATATATTATGAGGCAGCCTATTATTTTAAAGAACACAGCTGTGTATCGTCCGACGTTACGTCTAACGAAGAGCCACTGTTGTGTTTATCCAGCGACGTCTTGACATCCACCATCTGCAAAACAAATTTTCCAACACGGATGTGGTGTGGTGGGAAGGAGGACGCGGATTGGTGGATACGAGGACGTCGATGACGCACTACAGGAAGTCTTTAGAGCTGCACTGTCGGAGCATCTTCTCTGCTGCAGCATCAACAACCTAGCTAAACCTGACACTAAAGCTAAACCTGACACTAAATATGCCAAGAACTGCGGGGCAATTCACAGAACTTACTCAGGTAAAGTCGTCTGTAATGTTGTTCAGCTTACTGTCTAACGAATAAAAACGCACTCAAAGGCAGAATAGCTGAGGAAACGAGCATAGCACCGGCCTCTCTCTGTCAGTCAGAATCTGTTGATTTGCATTTTTGCAGGGCTGGACCATGTGGTGGTGAGCGGTATGCCATGCAGAGGAGACACAGCAGCAACACGGATGGCATGCCCTCTGAAAGGTGAGAAGAATAGCTCTCAGGAGCAGCACAAGCCCTTTGTTTGTGCCAAATGTATGTGGACCCCCCCTGTCTACATGCATACATCCTGTCTTTCATTGTCTAGTGATACCATAGATGTCTACCATCTCCCTGCAGTAATCAATTATTTGCCTGTGCTTGGGCCAAACCAATGTTTAATTGCAATATTTCAAAGCCAGATCCATAAAGAACTTGACTCTTCTGCACAACCTCAGAGAGGAATTTTACTATACAGGATATGTAAAATGAAGCATAGCCATTGTTTAGGCTTAAGATGTTTTTTGTATCCTCACTCAGGAGCCGAAGCCAAACTCTGGGATCAGAGAGCAGCCTAGATGAGGGTGGTGTGTTTGACTGCCTGAAGCCCGACTCTCCCGCTTCACCCCAGCAGATCTTCTCCGGCCTGGTGGGCGTCCCCTCCAGCTCTGTCTCCTCTGCCCAATTCCAGGCAGCCGGCTTAGTCCTGGGCTCTCCCCCTGAAGTTTTTATCCAGATGACTGCATCGTCCAGAGAAGAAGGAGGCCCCCACCGCACAGAGGGTGGACCCTTTCTCCCTCGGCCGCCTCCGCACCACCATCACCACCACCACCACTTCCACCACCAGGCCCTGCAGCACAGGACTTCCTCTCTGCTCCAGCAGGCCGCTACGGCGGGCGGCTCAGAGAGGCACAGCTCCAGGGAGGAGGCCCAGGAAGACCCGTCCACCCCGGCCCCAGCCCTGTCTGAGCTGAAGGCAGTAGTCACATGGCTGCAGAGAGGCTTCCCCTTCATCCTCATTCTGCTGGCTAAAGTCTGCTTCCAGCATAAGCTAGGTAGTGCTGCTAACGGTGTCAGATAATACGCTACTTGCATCACAGAGTCATAAGGTGTGGTTTAGTGATGATGTTGCACTTCTCTCCTGCAGGTATTGCTGTGTGTGTGGGCATGGCCAGCACATTCGCCTATGCCAATTCCACGTTTAGGCACCAAGTGTCATTACGGGTAAAACATCTCATCTTTTCAAATGTTAGTTTAAATACTGAGACATGCATAGTCTGAGATCAAAGTCAGGCTAAGCACATGCCGATATTAAAGGATAAGGCTGGTGTTATTTCATATGTTTATACCGCTGCCCCGACAACAATGTTTTTGGGTTGTTCGTCCGTCCATTGTTGTAATATCTTAAGAAAGCAGAAAAGGACTTTCTTTAAATTTCGCACAAAAGTCCACTTCCACTCAAGGGTGAACTGATTAGAATCTGGTGGTCGAAGGTGACGATCAGTAGTCTGTGTAATTCTCGTGAATACGATATCTCAGGAACACCTTGAGTTTTTGTTTTTTTGTCTTTTTTTTAAGTGGCTCGTAGGTGTAGTTTCCCTTTTAGTAAAGGCAGAGTATCCTTCTAAAACAGGGCACTTTGGTTTTTATCAAACATTACTCAAACAGGAGTTGATAGTGCACTTGTTGGGGACTATTTTCAGCCATGGATGAATGCACATTGGGTGCTCTAGTGAGTATTTACAGCAGTGGGATGGTGTACATTGGATTGACTCAAGATAAACTACAGTAACTAAATTACAAAAAATGCAACCAAAAACTGAAGTGAAAAATGCAACGCCCCAGAGCGTTCTTAGCAAATACACGAGAGCGCGTACACACAAGCTCACTGTTAGACGGACTAATAACGCACCGCAATGTAATAAGAATGTGTGACATTATTGCAAGTGTTGATTTACAATTTTATATTTAAAGAAATGTATTGTGTGTTTCTCTTCTATGTTGCCAGGCGGAACGTTCTGTATTTGTTGCTCTTTGGATCATCGGGTTCCTTGCAGGGAATATAGTGTATCTCTACTACACGTTCAGTCAAGAGGAGCTGCAGAACAGGTAGTGTACACGCAGGTATTTAACAGTAGCTTTGTGTTTTTTTTCTACGCCTGCCAGCTTATGTTTTAGATTTTTTTTGATACGTTTTATGTTTTCCCATTCTTCTTGTGTTGTGTAAGCCATTTCATTTTGACTTCCATTTCCTTTAGGGAACGTTCCTGTTCTTGTCTGGTCTTGTCCTGTGAGTATTTTGTGTTTATTTCATGTTTTGGTTTCCAGAGCGTTTTCTTGAGTTATGTTAAACATTTGCCTTTCTGTTGCTTGTCATTCTTCCATCCTGTGTGAAACCACCAGACCTCCCATTAACAACTCATCTACCTGTTTTCTTTTTTTTCTAGCCTCATATTTGCCAGGCCCAACCTCAACAGCTTTGACTTCTTCGATCTGATCTGGGCTGTGGGCATCACCGACTTTGTCCTTAAGTACTTCACCATCGGCCTGAAATGCTTTGTCCTCTTCTTGCCCAAGATTCTCCTGGCCTTCAAATCCAGGGTAAGACATCCACATTGATTTTTCTGACCCTTAGATCTACAGAAAATGTGAATTATTCTTACATCTTCTTCATGGGACACAGTTTACATTATATCCATAAGTCATTACTAGAAACTTTAACTGTAAATTTGCAGTTATAATGGCATTTTGAAGTGCTGAAGTTAGTCTTTTTTTGAGTTGTTCAACCAAAAAACCAAAACAAATGATCTGGCCCCTCTAATGAGAGGATTTGAGACTTTCCTTTATTTTCTATCAGAATTTCTGTTGTAGGTTGTAACAGTCTGACAAGACACAACCGTGTGCTCTGTAAACATGTAGCAAGTATTTTCTGCCATTTTATAGACATTTTAAAGATAATTTTTATTATTTATTTCTTAATTGCAGCCCTCATTATGTGCATTTGACATTTGCTTAAACTGCAATAAATGCTTGCAGCTTTTTGCCCTATAACCACTTTATGGCAAACCTTTTGTGCATTTGATCAGTTGACAGCAAACAAAGGCCCAAATGAAGAATTAGGCTAACTTTTAACCTTAAGGTTTTGAATTCTTCGACTTCTTGCAAAAGCCATAACAGCATAAGAGCATGTAGCATGTAGGAGTGTATTTGTCCTTTTAAACACATTAGTGAGCATATAGACCAACCAAGCAAACCTTGTATGACGCACTTAAAAGGCATCTAATCTGAGTGTCAATGTATAGACTGCCATATTCATGTTTAGCTTATCCATAACACGGTACAAACAATGATTGAGTTACAGGAAGTTCACTGACAAAGTTGAGGAACTTGGTAGACAATATTAAAAAAGAAATCAGCTAAACTATGATGCAATACTCCGCTGAGTGTAGAAAGTGCTGAAGGGTCACAGTGTGAAACTGCTTTGTATTCATAAGGTCTGTGTGCGTGGTTAGTCTGGCCTGAGGCAACTGACTATGACTGCACACACACACACACACAGATAGACTCTGATTTTCATACAGGTGCAGCTCATATTCCGCGTGCGTGTGTTTGTGTGTTGGATAGAGGGGAGGAGGGGAGTAGAGGGGAGTATTAGGATTACATTTTCCACTGATAAACAGACCTACAGGCCTATCAGAACCACGACAGCCAGCAACTGAGCTCATTTGCCCTCGAGGGGATTGCACGGGTGAGGTCATCCCTCCCTGGAGCTGGACCATTACCTGTACCCTACAAACACACACACACACAGATATACTACACACACGTACATCATTTTACAGCTTTAAGGGACACATGTTGAGGATCTTAGCGAATCCCAGATTGTATCATCACTAGGACTGTGACGGCCGAACAGTCCCGTCTATTCTGAACTCCATAAAGTCACATAATCAGCCCGTCTGCTTCGTTACTGCAGAACAAACGCGGATGCACTAATGATCCGACATAATCACCAGCGTCAGCGCATACAGAAGTTCCATGACGAGGAAGGGCTCGTGTCTTCCTGCTTGTGCATGAATCTTATTCATTGTGTGCTGCTGTGAGTGTTTTCCTTCTTGTTTACGAGGTGTCTCTGAGTCTCCTGCTTCCTAAATTTGGTGGTCGTAACATCGATCTGTGGTTTATTTTTTGCTCTGTTGGTGCTGCTCCACTTGTCTGCTCTGTTTGCCTCGAGCAAGATTTAATGTTGAAGACTTTCTGCGGCTGTTCAACAGGAGCATGAGTCACAAGTTAAGTAGGGCGAGTAACTATTGTTTCTTTTAGACTGATGAATTATGTTAATATTATTATTGATATTAATTGACTTCATTGTTCATACAGGTCTTAAAGTAAAATATGACCATTACTCCAAAGGTTTAAGGTGACGTCTTAAAGCCCACATATCTAATTGTTTAAAAACAATATAAAACACAGAGAACAGAGAAGCAGCAATGTGTGGCACTTTTGCTTGATAACCTACTGAATTGATTCATTTTATTATTAAAGTCAAATTTCATTCAAACATTATCATATTTTATTGATTTGTTTGGAATACATAGAGGAATAACTTCGTGCAGGGTGGAGAAAAGGACAAAGTCACAATGGGTACCAACTGAAACCCCAAAACTTTAAAGTAACCTGTGGAGTTTTTGAAACCTAGCAGTGCCATGTTACAATGATTTTACTTGTGTGTGTCCCCACCAACATCGTGCTGTTGATTTCACTGATCAGCAGTCGGTGGCTGTAAAGCAGCAACACACGTAGCAGTGTGAAAACAAAGACGGCAAAGAAAAAGAAGATTATAACCACATTTTAAGCCCCACCCACTTACCCGCAGATTTAATAGATAGCAATGTAGTTATAACGGCCTCGTAGATTAGAAAGTAAAGTTATGTGTCTGTTTCTGTGTGTAGTTATGGAGTGGATAAAGAGATCAGACGATGTAATATAACCAGAAAGGAGGAAACCACTCGAACAAGGCCTGCAGTGGAGCTTACTCAAACTCCTTGGCTTCTGTCCAAACTTAAGATTTGACAGTTTGTGCGTGGGCGCGATGGGCACTGTGGGATACGAGGCTGAGGGGACAATAAGGAAGATGAATTAGCCACTAGCAGAGGCCTTCCTCCCCGACCAACCTGGCTGCTTGTGGCTCTTTACCCACAGTCATCAATCTTTGTCAGTGAACATCCAGGAAGTCATTATGCAAGCTGGGATGCCACAGGGGCCATTAGGGAATCAAGTTTGCCTCCATTTTGGTCCCCTCTGTTTTTAACCGTACCCAATTCACTTAATGCACTTTGTAGCAGTCAGAAGTTCAATTTGTTCTTCGTGATTATTTAGGGAAGGGGTCCTTTTTTAAAGGCAGCTAGCAAGCCCCCGTAGGGCTGGGTTTAATGTGGGCATTGGGTAGCAGGTGGAAGGAGCCGCTGCCAGTTTCCCTTGCAGTGTGGGGAAATTGCCTGTACTGCTGTGAAACTGCGGCGCTCTGGACAGCAGCCATGTTTGGGCTGGAGGCCTGCTGTTTTAAGCTTTTAATACCGCACTGCTCTTGACTAGATAGAAGAGTGCCTCGAAGCTGTTCAGCTCTTTTCCGCTTTTTGGACAGTAAAAGAGTGGATCAAAGGAAGAATACATATTGTCTCGATTTTAGTATTTTTTCATTCAGTCAAACTTTGGTTAAGCCTTAAAAAGGTCGCCTTTGTTTTTGATGGTTTTTTTCAAAGGCACTGCCAGTTTAAAAAGAAAAATATTAGGTGGGCACATTCCCAGTCCCTGCCATCTACTGGACCATCGTCTGCATATAAGAAGTGGACCTCATCACCGTGATGTCACCTATTGGTTTGTGGACTACGGGTTTGAAGCCTCGACTTGCAACCAGAAGTGACATGAGAGGTTGGAGCTACAATCGAACTCTGAATAAGACATTTTTAGGAGACCAAAAAAATGACAATTTACCTTTTTGTGAACTAAAAACACACTGAAAAAGGTTAAAGTTCTAAGATGAAAACATGAACAACTCCCAAACCGGACATCGCCGTGGTAGCGACCCGTCAATCACAAGGTAGCCCCGCCCTAAAGCTTACCCTGCTTTATTGTCTATTTACTCTAAATGGGACCATAATTTACTCCATGAAGAATTCTTGAAACTAGCGATTGAGACCATACATGCGTTTACAATGTTTACTGAGGTAATAAATCAAGTGAGAAGTAGTGTCATTTTCTCACAGACTTCTATACAATCAGACTTCTTCTAGCAGGCGTCGCCCCTCCAATGCAAGTTGAATGCACTTCAAAAAAAAAAAGTTGGATAGAAGCACCAAGAGAGGCCTCCTCTACTGTTCTACTTTCTAATTTGTGTGTGTTTATCTAGGGTAAGTTCTACCTGCTGATAGAGGAGCTGAGCCAGCTGTTTCGGGCCCTGGTGCCCATCCAGCTGTGGTACAAGTACATCATGGGAGACGACCCGTCCAACAGCTACTTCCTGGGAGCCACACTCATCATCATCTACAGCCTCTGCAAGGTAATCTGTGCCCGGTAGCAAAGCATCTAGCAAAGATCAATATAGTGTTCCAACTTATATAAATTAAATATAGACTGCACACAATTCAATTCCTGCATCAGAATTAATTAATAAGACGTTCAAGGGCCGACAACAGATGGAGGACAAACTCCTGTGAAGAAAAGAGCTCAGCATAGAAAAATAGAAGCAAGTGAAGCTGCCTAAAATATGAATATTGCTACTTAAATACTAAAACCCCTTGAGCACTTTTCTAGAGCTTACATTAGGAAAAGTATAATCAAAATCATGATAATATTGTTACTCTTAGAGACTTACTGGAGCTCAGGTCTATAGTGATGGTGGTGGAAGACAAGAGGTCATAAAGGCTGCAACAAACATGTATTTTCATTATCGATTAATAGGCTGATTATTTTCTCGATTAAAATTTTTGCGTTCTCCCAGTTTGGGAGTATGAATATTTTCAGGAAGTCTCATAGCAATACTATTGATGATGGATCTATGATTCATACAATAAGACGTATGTGATATGTTGTGTGCACAGTAAACGTTTCGGCTCTGGGGTGGTACTAGAGTAGAGTTCATCGGGTATTAAAAAGGAAAAGGGTTCCTCCTCTAGGGGAGGAGGAATTAGATGAGCCTCTGATTTTTAGCCACGCTAGAAGTGAGGCTGTAGAACTGGCAGCGTCAGTTAGACGGGCGGGCGGTCGGTCCACCACTTTGGTCCAGACTGCGTACATGTAAGACAAATGTTGTAGTGATGGAGTATAACTGAAGGGGGTCATCAGGAACATTTTTGATTCATCTGTTGGGGACCCACAAAGTGAATGGGGATCCAGAGAAAAGAGGGAAATGACTTGAGAGGGAGGCTTGATGAAAAGTTAGCTCACCAAAATGATTAGAAATCATCTTCAATGTTATTCTTCCCCTGGATTGGAAAGATATTTGGGCCTGGATTTTAAAACTGAAAGAGAAACCTTAGGTCGCAGCAAGGCCAGTCACTGAGCAGAGGTATAAGGGAACTTAAAAAGACTTTCGGAGAAAGAGATCTTTAGAGCCATGCGTCAGCTTCCAGTCTGTCACAACATCGCAATGAGACAGTAAAACTAGTTGTTGCATGAATGAAACGGCAAATGACGGCGTGATGAATTGTTTGAGGTTGTCACCGTCATGTGTTCCGTAGAGTGTGTTGACAATTATAGTCGAGACTTCTTTTAATACACCAGTGACTCAGCGGATGTAGCTGTTGATGATGGGCTTGTTCAGCTGAACTGGGTGGAGTGTGTGTGTGTGTGTGTGTGTGTGTGTGTGCGCGTGTGTGTGTGCGTGCGTGCGTGCATGCTGAGGTGCAGCACTCTGGTGGTTTCCAAGATCAGGCAATGTTAGCAGTGTGTCAATATTAGAGTATGCCGATGTGCATTAGTGGTTGATTCACCGTTGTCATGCTGTTTGTGTCACACAGGATAACGGTAAGATAAAGTTTAGAGAAAAATGTTAAAATGCATAACCAGTAGAAGCAGAGTATCGCTTTATGTTGAATAAAATCCTAGAGATTTGAGATGTTACTTTGCTGAGTTGCTCTGGAGAAAGTGCTAACTTGTTCAGGTCAGTGCAGTTCAAAGTGCTTCACAGATGACAGACGAGCCGAGACTGAACAAGTGTGGCTGCTGACACCAACAGAAAAGACGAAAGCAATTCAGCAATTAAACAATTTCAGACCATTGGACGCGAGACAATAAAATGATCAAAATGTAATAAAATATAATTAAAAGCTATGATCACGGTAATAGTAGTAAAACAGTGAAATACAAATTAGATCAATAAAACAATTACAATTATTCAACTTAAATACAATGCAATAAGTGAATAATATGATTAAAAATAGGAGGGCTTCTGGGCAGTTGTTGTTTATAAAAATCTGATCGTGCTTCTTTATTGTTTTGCAGTCCTTTGACATCTGTGGACGAGTGTCTGCCATCCGCAAGGCCTTGGTCATGCTCTGCAGCGCTCAGGTGAGATTCAAACAATTTTTATCCTTTTCACATATCAGTAAACACACAGAGATATGCTCAACTTTGTGTTTTTTGCTTTGAGATTTAAATAAATCTAGGAGAGTTTAAATTTCCCTCTTTTCTGTCTCATCCAGAGTTATGGAGTGAGGGCAGGCGGTCAGCAGTGCAGCGAGGCGGGCGATGTCTGTGCCATTTGTCAGGCGGATTTCAGAGACCCCATCGCCCTTCTCTGTCAGGTAAGGACTCTGTGAAGTAGTCGGAGACTGCTGAACCTCTGACCACAGCCAGCATCACCCATGGGTGAGGTTGGGTATGGACAGAAGTGTGCTAAGTTGCAGCTGGAACAATTCAGTGTCAATGGAGAAAGGTGAGAAGTTAATCCACCAGAAGTTCATAAAAACAGATGCTTTCAGCTGGTTTTAAGTTGCTCTTTAGATATAAATAGGAAAGAAAATGACCATTTAAACAGTGTTGCAGTCTGTAGATAACAACACGCAGGGCTGTAATGAGATTTAAAGAGATGTATTTATTTAGAGACATATGTTAGCTGTAAGAAATAAGAAATGTTGCGTGTGCATTCTGTTCCTCTGCAGCACGTGTTCTGCGAGGAGTGCCTGTGCTTGTGGTTCGACCGGGAGAGAACGTGTCCGCTGTGTCGCTCCACCGTCATTGAGACCCTGCGATGCTGGAAGGACGGCACCACCTCGGCTCACTTCCAGATCTACTGAGCTCCGAACACGCATCATGTGCCCCCTGGGAAGACGGGATTGTGCTGTATTGCGAGTTAGACAATGGTGTGTCATCTTTCGCTGTTTATCTTAGTGCGGTAACTCTTTAAATCAGGGTAAGCATAGTAACACACAATATATAGGGGGACTTTAATTTTAGAATAATTTGTAAAGACCAGGGGGTCTCATTTATAAAACACTGTGCAGGATCTCCATTATATGTTTGCGTACGTTCAAAGGAGGAAATGCACGTATTCCAAAAAATTATCTTGGGGGGGGGGGGGGGGGGGG